ATGGTATAAAAGCATGTGGACTTTGGTAGCAGCAGAGAAGATAACACACAACTAAGAGGTCTCCAACGGGTGTGAAAAATCCAGAGCACTTCTACAGAGTCTGGCGGAACTTTAGTTTGCATGTTTCTGATTCTGATGTGCTGAACAATATAAGTACATCATAAACAGATGAAGGGTTTGTGTGGAAAGGCGAGCAGATTCCCTCCTATCCGTCTAATATGCACCAAGACAAAGCCCCCGCCCCCACTCCACTGACAGGTGGGTGGCTGGAGGGCAGGGAACTCCCTCCATTTTGTTTGCATGCATGCTGAATGGATATCACACCCACTCAAAGGATCTTTTTGGCCGCCCCCTGAAGCACTCTGCGATGGTGGGTGAGTTGCTCTGAGAGAGAGTGCCATATCCCACACCACTTGAAGCCAGGTTGCTTGCAGAGGAGGAGCAGAAGACTTCCCATGCCATGCCACTGTCATTCTGGCAGCCACCAGGAGCAAAGATAAGAATGTTCCATGTTTGATCTTGGGATTCAAGGAGCTTCTCAGAGAAGACAGTGCTAAAGAGGGATCTAAGACAAGAGCATGGCCTGTGGTAGCAGACGCAAGACCAGAAATCCTGAATAGCCCAAACTTCAAACCTGCCAAAAGAATTCTGTGTTGGTGACATCACACCCGTTACTAACCTCTGATGTTCCACAATCACATTCCTCTCCAGCATCTACTAGCTTGTTGCCACAGTACGGGATGCTATAGGTTTCCTCAGGCCTGGGGATATTGAGGAGGCAGCTCCCACCCTTGCTCAGAGTTAGCTTTTCAAAGTCTTCCTCGCTACAGCTGCTGAAGTTCCTGGCCCCTCTGCAAGCATGGAATGTTAAAAAATAGTCCTTACATTGGGCCATGCAACCTCTAGGGCAGTCTTTGCCAACCTGGTGCCCTCCAGAGGTTTCGACCTAAAGCCGTATTCACACACAATATATGTAAAGCACTGTGATATCACTTTAAACAATCATGACTTCCCTCAAAGAATTATGGGAGCTGTAGTTTACGGGTGCTGAGAGTTGTTCAGAGGCCCCCAAAACACCTCCCCAGAGCTACAATTCCAAAAGTCGTTTAGCAATCAATCCCTTTTCAAAAGGAATCAAAATAAAATCACAAGACTAGGGCAGGTCCTAAAAATATAGCTCTCAAGTGTCAAAGGGCATGTATACAAAGCAAAGCAAAATCCAGTTTATACCAGTTTCACCAACATGGCTCCTGCCTTGGCTCAAGGAATCCTGGGAACTGTAATCCAATAAGGGTGCCAAGAATTCCAAAAGAGGTGCTTGGACTCCTATCATTTGACTGCAGTTCCCAGAGTTCCTAAGGAGAAGGGATGGGTATTAAGTCACTTGAAAGCCACAATGGAATGACATTCTAATCTAGGGGGATTGTGCAGAAGAGACACCACAGAAAAAGAATCACAGAGAAGGAAGTTTGCACAGCTGCACAGACTCTCTCATTTGACACCTGGCAGCAGTTGTTCCATCAGGCTTTCTTTGAACTGTTTCCATCCCAGCTGGTTGTTTGAAGGACTGTAACTTTAAAACCTGGTGCCTAAACTTGCTTTTCTTCTCTCCCCCCCCCCCCCGCCCCCAATCCCTGAGGACTGAGCTTTGTAAGCCACTTTGAGAGCTTTTTTTTAGTTAAAAGAGAGGTAAAAAATGTTTTGGGCATTATGAGGACACTTAATTTATGTATAAGATCTGGCATTGCTTGTTGGGGGGGGGTCCCCACTCTTATGTGCTATGGAAGGAAGGATTCTTGGCTTTACAGTAGTTCTTATTTTTATTATGTTCTGTATTTTGTTTCTTTTATATTGCATTTTTATGCTGTGAACTGCCCTGAGATCTACAAATGAAAAGCAGTATGTAAATTTAACAAATAATACCAATCTGTTTAAAAAGAGAAGATTCTCACTCACGTGGCTATGTTTTTGAAAGGATGAAAGCAGCATGGAAATGTTCCCATGGCTGAAATTCAGGGGTCCCCATGTTCAGAGGTTGCTCACCCTTTGTCTCCTGTAGCCTGTGATTACATCCCTCTACTCCAGGGATGGAGAACCTCAGGCCTCAGGGCCAAAGGCAGCCCTCTGAGCCTCTCTGTGGGGCTCCCAGGACTCTTCCGGCCACAGGCCCTTCCTAGCCACATCCCCTACTGACTCTGTCTGACTGGACCAGGCCCTTGCACCCTGATCATACCTCTCACTTGCCTGGTTGGAGGCAACGTGCGTGTGGAGACCAGGTGAAATTTGCACCCATTGCTCTGTTGACTTTTGCTTCTGGCCCCTCATGCCCCTGGCATGTTTCCCCCCAAAATGTTGCCTGTAAGGGAATGCAGCTGTCCAGTTGGAAAAGGTTTCCCAGAGTTGCTCTGCCCAAAGGCCTTCTGCAATAGGTCCAAAAAAGAGTTACGTACGATGCTCCAGAGTTCATGATACAGTTTTCTGAACCACAGTCACACTTCCTTTCATCGTCATGGTTCATTCCTAGGTTGTGGCCAAGTTCATGAGCAACGATCGATGAAAACATCTGCACACTGATGGGCCCAAACTAGAAAACAACACAAAAATAACAAGCACACACAAGTATGTAATAAAAAGGGGTCCCAAAGTTCTGGCTTGGTTAGAGAAACTATTGTGTAATCACTTAGGGGGGAAGTATCACAAGCCTTTGCTCTCTTCTTTCAGCCTTGGGTGATTGAAGTACCAGCACACAAGAAACCAGGCAGAGCAACCCAACTCCCCCCCCCCACAAGGCTGGGCAAGGAGTGTCTGGATTAGGCATAGGCAGAGGTGTTCCCCTGCTCTGCTCTCCCAACTGAGCTGGCCTTCCAGCTGCCCCCCAGATGTGTGGCCTTGCAACAGAACATTCTGAGGGAGGGGGATGAGCTAGCTTGGGATCCACAATGGCATTGGGCCCAATTCTCTGCCATGAGCAGCTGGGTTGTGAATGCAGCAGTGGTCCTGCCACTCTGCCAAGTCCTAGCAGTGGGAGGGGGGACTTTGGAATACACCCAAACCAAATGCCCCCAAATAAAAAGAATAAACCGAATGAAAACGGAGCACCTGGATCTCAGCCAGACCCACCGCAAACCCCTTTTGCCACAAAGCTAAGTTTCCACCTTTGTTCATTGGAGAAGCAATGGATGTTGTCTTACCACATTAATGCCTCCAGCGTGGCTCTTGGAGCAGACGGTACCCACGTAAGCCATCCCTGCTGTGCCACCAAATGCTTTCTTCCTGAAATTTACACACAGGAAAGAGTGCCATTAGTTTCTGCTGCAAGCAGAATTGTCATCTCCCATTTAAATCCCAAACAGTAATGCCAGCAAAGAGTGGGGGGTAAGGTCACTTTCAGTGTCTGGGCACTAGCTAAAAGGAGAATCACATTCTTAATAAAAGCCTTTAAAACTATGGGGAAATGGGGGGCGGGGGGAGTCAGGATAAGCAAATAAGTTTAAAATATTCAAGACTAAGAATAGTAAACAAACCAACAAAGATATATACATACATGTGCGTGCATGCATCTATTAGCACCCCCTAACAACAACAACAATTTTATTATTTATACCCCACCCATCTGGCTGGGTTTCCTCAGCCACTCTGGGTGGCTTCCAGCGGTCTGGATTAGTTGTAGTTTCCAGGTAACCTTCAAAGGTAGCGCGTTGCAGTAGTCCAAGCAGGAGATAATTAGAGCATGCATCACTCTGGCAAGACAGTTTGCAGGCAGGTAGGGTCTCAGCCTGCATACCAGATAGAGCTGGTAGACAGCCGCCCTGGACACAGAATTGACCTGTGCCTCCATGGACAGCTGTGAGTCCAAAATGACTCCCAGGCTGCGTACCAGGGGCACAGTTACCCCATTCAGGACCAGGGAGTAACCCACACCAGCCCGCCCCGTCCCCCAAGAACAGTACTTGTCTTTCTTGTCAGGATTCAACATCAATCTGTTAGCTGCCATTCATCCTTCAACTGCTTCCAGATACTCACACAGGACTTTCACCACTGTCAGTGTTTCTGATTTGAAGGAGAGGTAAACCCCCCTTGATCTCTCGCAGCGGCTTCATGTAGATGTTAAAAAGCATGGGAGAGAGGACAGTACCCTGAAGCACCCCACAACTGAGAGCCAAGGGGTCTGGACACTCATCCCCCAACACCACTTTCTGAACACGGCCCAGGAGAAAGGAGCGGAACCACTGTATAACAGTGCCCCTAGCTCCCAACTCCTCAAGACTGTCCAAAAGGATACCATGTTCAATTGGATCAAAGGCCGCTGAGAGATCCAGCAGAACCAGGAAACAGCTTTCACCTCTGTCCCTGGCTGGCTGAAGTACATTGACCAGCACGACCAAGGCAGTTTCAGTCCCATGGTGGGGCCTGAATCCCAATTGGAAGGGATCCAAATGGTCCGAATCCTCCAGGCATGCTTGTTCAGGAGCCACCCGGTCAATCACCTTGCCCAAGAATGGTAGCTTTGAGACTGGGCAATAGTTGGCCATATTGGCTGGGTCTAAAGATGTTTTTTTAAGAAGCGGTTTAATGACCACCTCTTTCAGTGGATCTGGAAAGGCTGCCTCGCAGAGGGAAGCATTCACCACCCTGCAAAGCCCATTGCCCAGCCCTTCCCGGCTCGCTTTTATGAGCCAGGATGGGCAAGGATCAAGGAGACAGGTGGTCGGTTTCACTCTTCCAATCAGCCTGTCCACATCCTCAGAGGTAACAGATTGGAATTGATCTCATACAACTTGACCAGACAGAACTCTAGCACTCTCCCACCCTAGCCCTGCTTCTGAAGGAATGGGTCTCCCAAACCCAAAACTGACTGTGCAGGCAGTTTGAAACTGCACCAAAATCCCTATTTTCCCTTAGCTAAAATGCTTTAACTTGAGCTCTTGAGCCAAAACCCAGCTGTATAAACAAGTGCTCAAAGCTCTCTCCCTTATCAGTCCATGAAGGCCGGTAATGATGGATGGCTTTGTCCATTCCAAAGTGGAACAGGGATGACACTCTGGGCTTTATCTTACATCCTGACCACAAAGACCACAAAGACGCACAGACCTAGTCTGGGAACAGCCAGAATGTGTTCTTGGAGTTGGTGACCTCTTGCTCCAAGATAAGAGTATAAGAACAGGAATAACCTTTTATGGTCAGAAGTACAGGAAGGAATACCCTTTTATGGTCAGAAATACAGGAAGGAATGCCCTTTTATGGTTAAGAATACCGGAGCAGGAACATATGTGATGTCAACCTGCGTGTATAGGCTGACGTGGTTAGATTCCTGGGGAAGGAGGGAGAGGGTGCCTGGAGGATATATATACTGCATGAAATTTCTCATTTCTTTGGACTTGCTGTGGACTGACCCCACAAGTGCCTTTCTGCTGTTCCGGAGAGCAGAAATAAAGAACTCTTTCTCTGAACCAACCCTCGGTGTCATTTGACTTCCTTCCTCCTGTCCGGGAGCAACACAGACCCAATCGGTGAACTCCAATAAGGCTACACTTCCACAGTGGAGTCTATCTCTTTCCAAATCTGAGCAACTTTATTTGCAGAAACCATTGCAAAATCATTGCAGGAGATCTTGGGGTCCTTACAGGGCCTCAATGGTGAAAGTGGTTCCATTAGATTGGGAACCACCTGAGTCTCCTGCTGCTTTTTTCTGCAGAGGCAATAGAGATGGTGAAGAAGGTCCTATTTGCCATCGCTATCTCCACTTAGTAGGCTCAACATTGAGCTTTGAGCTGTGTCCAGTCCAATTCAGAATGAGTTTCCCACCACTGCTGCTCTAGCTGTCAGCTCTGGGGGAAACCAGGGGGCCGTCTGGGCTCCATGCAATCAGAGAGGGAGCTTCAGAGCCAGTCAGTCAATAGCCCTTGTTATCTCTACATTCCAGCTGGCCACCAGTGAATCAGGTGAAAGGCCATCAACATGGGATAAGGCATCTTCACTCTTTGGAAACCATTTGGTTCCATTAACTGGGGGGAGTGGTGGACCATCCGAATTGGTCCCACTTTCCTGAGTGGGGGGTGGGAGGAAGGGTCGTGGAGAAGTCTGGTTGCATCAGAAAGTGACCCAACCATGGCATTTCTTTTGTTTCACCAAAAACTTGCAGGAGTGCAATGAATTATATTCGAGGGAAGCACTAACTCATTCTGTTAGTGCAAGGGGTAATATGTGCAAAGCTGGGTGCCCCACTGGCGGCTTCATTTTGCACTATTTGCAGCTCTCAAATCAGGTGGTATCGTCACGTACAGCTGATCTATAGCACTGCAGCATTTTATAGTTGACTATAATTGTTGTTAGCGACTCTGGTTTGTGCACAAGCATAAGAAGGGGTGGGATAAATATTTGCACAACTTCCATCATCCACCTCTTTTTGAAGTTCAGGGAAAAGAGTAGGAGGAAAACCCCCACAGATCTTAAGATCTTACAGAACAAACTGTGCACTGTCATGTCTTTGGCGCGGGACAAGCTCCTGCTCTCGCCACTGCACAAAGTTGGCAAGAACGTCTCCTGCACCTCCTTCTAGGCGGATCTTGTTTTCCTGAGTCCAGATCTCCAAGCCAACCAACACGATGCGGATGTTCAGTGCTATGTACATCTGGAAAGCAGAGAGAAGAAAGGAACAAGTAAGAGAGGGCTGGGGAATGTTTTCTATCCCAAGGGCCCCATTCCCTCAGAGGTAACCTTCCAAGGGCCACACGGCAGACAGGATCCTAGCCAAAAGTGGGTGAGACAGAGGCAAAAGGGCAGAGAGTAACAGGGGTGACTCACTGTTGTGCAGTGTTAGGCTCTGTTCCAGTTATAGAAGCGTCAGAGGTTTCAGCACTCACCCTGCAACCACGGCTCTCCATCCTGCACCCAGACAAGCAGGAGGCATTACTTAGGACAAGGACACCGTACAGAGCCTGTCAGGGCAGCCACCTTTGGACCCATGAAATTCTCCAGGAACAGAATGCATGCAAGCATGTAGAGTCTCTTCCTAGGAGCATTTTAAAAGCTTTTTTTTTTTTTTTACCATGCAGACACAGTAAACTAACTGGCAGCTCCAAGCAGCTGTGAAATGTTTAAAGAGAATCACGTGTCCCCATGCCCCATTGCCATCCCCTCCCTGTGCACACTGAATAGAGAATGGAAGCTCATCAGAAAGCACACATAGAGCCATTCCACATTGAAAGGCCTGGACAAAGGGAGGGATCCCAAAAAAGAAAACCAAAAAGATAATGCAGCTGGATGCCAAGCAAGTCTTCCTTGGCAAGGCATTCTAGAAACCTCAAAATAACATATTTCAGTTGTCATCCTAATTATTATGTTTCAAATACATGGCACACACAACAAAACTGCTGCATCTTGAACTGGGTGTGGAGAGGGCAGCTGAATTGGACACAGCCGTGGACAGCCTGAGGCAGGAGCAGCCATCTTGAGCTGCCCGTAAAAGCAAGTCTAGAGTGAGAGACTAGGACAAAGTCTGCTGCTGCCAGGAGCTCTTCTCATTGTGAGACTTCTGTGGGTGAGCTGAGAGTTGGTTTGGACCCTAGGTGAGAACAGGGTTACAATGTTACATTGTTATTGGCATCTGTCTGTCTCAAGAGACAATGGAGTGCATCTCCAGGGATGATGTCAAACCGCTGTGTTAGCAGCACTAAAGTGACCTCCGCAAGACACAACCCTGGAAGTCCTGGGCTCCCCAGACGTCAAGATCCCCCTCTCAGCCTCACTGATGGGGTCCAAAGGAAGGCAGAGCAAGACGTTTGACCCAGCTGGGCTGCAGTAGTAGCTGGAAGGAGGTGTACAAGGTGCCACCCAACCGTCTTAGGGACTCCGCTCCGGATTTCTGTAGGGTTTCCTCCTGAGCCTTTCCTTCTCCCAAAGATATCCCGCAAGACAGCAGAGGTTTAGGATCAGAGTTTTCCTTCCCCTGGATGGGCTCCCTTCCCAGGTGGACAAGCCCCATGTGCCCCTCACTTCCCTCTCCAGCACATGCAGAAACCGCCTTCTTGACCGTTGGACCCACTCTTGACCTCCTTTGCTCCATCCGCCAGAGCCTTTGCACGCAGGGAAGACTTTAGCTCACCAAGGGTGATCAGAAGGAAGATGTTGATTATATATATATATATATATATATATATATATATATATATGTAACTTTGTATTGATATAACATTTTGAACTGTGTATTTTTTAAATATTTTGTTTAAGTTGTCCGTTGTTGCTTCAGTTTTTTGCACAGTTTTTTGGTATAGAAATGAAATAATAAATAATCACACCACTTTGAAGAAAGGGGCAGGTAAAAGTAAAAGGAATAAAAATACATGCATATTTTGGCACAATTCATCAACTCTGAGTATCATAAAGCTTTCACTTACACTATCCAGGTAGTTGACCAAATGCACCATCTCTTCTGTAACAGCAGTTTTATTCTGGCCCATCAGCTGATACTGAAAGAAAAGCAAACATTTATGCACGGACGGAAAATGGGACAATGAAGAAAACAAAAAACAGAACAGTGCCAGCAATTTCAGAGCCTTGTGCTTTAAAAAGGTGGCTAAGGCCAAAAGTGTGCTTAACAGATTTTGAATGTTGCCAGTCTCCAGAATGGAATCATGGAGTTGGTGCAGGTTTAGAAGTAAAGATAGAAAATTTTGAATGGTCTGCATTTTCTTCTCTGCTGTCTCCCATCCATGCAAGGACCCCTAACAGTTAAGTCCAGTTGTGAACGACTCTGGGTTTGCGGCGCTCATCTCGCTTTACTGGCCGAGGGAGCCAACGTTTGCCCGCAGACAGTTTTTCCGGGTCATGTGGCCAACATAACTAAGCCGCTTCTGGCGAAAGCAGAGCAGCGCACGGAAACACTGTTTGCCTTCCTGCTGGAGTAGTACCTATTTATCTACTTGCACTTTGACGTGCTTTCGAACTGCTAGGTTGGCAGGAGCCAGGACAGACCAATGGGAGCTCACCCCATCACAGGGATTCAAACTGCCAACCTTCCGATCGGCAAGCCCTAGGCTCAGTGGTTTAGACCACAGCACCACCCGCATCCCTCATCCATGCAAGACTTCATAGCAAAACCCAAGAATTTTAGGGCTTTGGGAAAAGGAGTCTCAGCTGATAATTTGGAAACACAGTGACTTAAAGGAAAACAATGGTTATGTAGGGATGGGAATGGGAAGTGACCAGTCATAGTGGGAAGGGGTGGAACAAAGTGAACCACAGAAGCTAACTGGACCCAGTGTTCTCCAGTGGTTCAGGGATGAGGTGAGGGTGGCTCATCCCCCAAAATCTGCAGTTCAGCTGCACACATTCTGTTAGCACAAGTGCAAGTCCATACCCTTTCTTTGTCCACGACTATAAAGAGCTCCACATATCTTGTCTGTAGGAGGATGCCTCTTTTTCTCTGCAAGGAAAGGGAGGGAAAGGGTGTAAGAAACAAAATCTTATCCCCTGACTCATAAGTTAAAAATGGGGTGATGTCACCCTGATCCATATTCTGCTTTTCTGCTCACACCACAACTACACTACTGGTGAAACATACCCAAGACACAGAGTGCCAAGGCATTCCAAAGAAAAGGCAACAATTCTCTTTTGTATCAGAATCTGGCCAGGATACACTCGGTCTGACCAAACAAAACAAGAACATGAGAAATAAATAAAGCTCATTTGTTTATTTTTATGACTTAAAATATTTATATTCCACTTTTCAATTCACAGACAAAAAATTGAAGGCGGAATTAAGCATGCATTATTCACATCCAGGTAATTTTAGGATTTCATCTCAAACTGGGGGGAGGGGAGAAGAGTGATGGCAGCTGAAATCTAACAACATCTGGAGGGCCACATGTTCCCCATTCTGTTTTTAGCTCTCATGGGCAGTGACCAGAACAAGATGAACAGAATATGGAGCACTCCAGAGCGGAGATTTATTGCCCCTACAAACATCTGTCTCATGGCTCTGTCTCTATGGCTCCTTGCACTCCTTTCCCTCAGTGCTACCCAAGCCACCCAATTAAGTTCTACTTAAAGTAGACCCATTGAAAGGAGTGTAACTAAGTTAGGCATAAACCTCAGTGGGTCTACTCTGAGTGGGTCGACTCTGAGTAGGGCAAGAATTGGCTACAACCCTTAGAATCTGCTCAGACCTTCAAGGTCATCACAGGACACTCACTCTCAGCCGCTGAGTCTCGCTGGCGGGGTGCTGAGGATCTCTTCCTCCCCACTTTTCTCCAGGAAGCTGGCACCGCATGTGATCCTCATCTACCTTCACGTTCTTCAACCGGTAGATCACGTGTTTGGTGCCTGAGGGCGGATCTAGAGGCTCAATTCCATAGCTGATGCTCTCAATTTGCAATAATCCCCTAGCAATGACATTAATTCATGTGTCAGATTCCCTGGGATGCATTCAGCATAGTGCTAAGGAGATCGTTCTGCCCGCACAAGCGTTCCGCTTGCCTGACAGAACCATCTCCCCTCTCCACCTCCCCATCTCTCCCTGTGCTGTTCTGGGGGTTCTCCTGACCCCCCAGAGCGGATTTGATTTCAGGGAAGTTCCATTATACCATAGGCCTCATTGCTTGAATGCAGCCCATTGCTCCCAAAGTATGTGCTGGGATGGGTGAGGATCCTAAACGAAAGCACTCACCTCTGTGGAAAGGAAACCAGGCTTCTGATTCAAATGTGCAAAAACAGCATGAAACACTGTATAGTCCTTCCTGGACAGTATTACAGTACTTCAAACTGCAGGTTCAGAAAAGGACAACCAAGAGGACTTTTATATGCACAAAGGTGGAAGGACACATTATTATCAACAATGAAAGAATGGCTGTTAAAACTAACAGACTTAGCTGAGATGGAGAAACTGACATGTTTAATCAGAGAAAAGTCATTGTTAATATTTGCTAAAGATTGGAACCCTCTCATGAACTTTTTGCATGAAAAAGAAAAAGAAGTAATGATATTTGGATTTGAGGATTGAAGATGATGTTTGTTTTAAAAAGTGGCTTTGTGAGGTGTTATGCTAGATTGGACAAAGTGAATGATGTTTTTACATAGCGGAAATGAGGAAGAATAAGAAGTTCTTTTCATTCTGAATCTTATTTCTCTCTCTTCCTCTTTTAACCTCTTTTCTATTCCTTTTTTTAAATTTCTTTTTCTTTCAACCCCCCCCCCTTTGCGTTTCTATTGTATCTAGATAAAAATCCTGGTTTGGTTGTTTTTTTAAAAAAAGGAGAAGATCTTAAGCTGCATATTTCTCTCCATAAACCTTAATAAAATTTATTATAAAAATAAAAGGGTAACTGTCAGGGGTTCAGGGACAGAGGCACAAGTGAGGGAGGAGACGGAGAGCGATGGGGAAGGATCCCAGGGCAGTGAGGAAGAGGATGACAATGATTCGAGGGATTCCATGAGTCTTTTGAGTGAATCGGAGGATTCCCAGAAGGGGGCGCCTGTGGTCAGGCCAAGGGGAGCCACAGGGGGGACTCGTCAGGAGCAGGGGGCCAGCAGGGGATCCCAAAGTGGGAGCTGGGAGTCAGGACCGGCTTCCCCGCCAGAGCGCAGTGAAGGGGGTGGAGATTCCAGTGTGACAGGAGAAGCAGCTCCGACAGCAGAGAAGGGGGGAAGGTCGGAGCAAGGCAACCTCCCGGAAGGGGAGGGGAGTAGTACAGGGAGCAGTGTAACTGTCAAGAGGAAGGTTAGAGGTTGCGAACGTGCGCCAAGTTCAAATGTGGAGGCGCGCGGAAACACAGGGAGCTCGGAGGAGGAGCCAGGTGCCAAAGCACGCAGGAGGGGGCAAGAGCTGTCTGGGGATTCAGCGTCAGAGGAATCAAGGAGGGGCGAAACCCCAGGGGGCAGAAAGACCCTGCGGAAAAGGAAAGAAAGGAAGAGGTGGAGCAGCACAGCCCTCTTAAATTGGTGCAGAGGAGGGACTGACTCAGAGGGGACTTCAGCGGTCTAAGCGTAACAGACGTGGGGCTGCGCGCCTCGGCTGTGGAGCGTACAATGAACTTCAATAAACGTTTTTATATATAAACTGGACTTGGCGTTGGTCTCTTGTGAGCTGGGACCTGAGGCAGCCCTGACAGTAACCAAAATAATCAATGGGATGGAGGCTTCCTGTTTCCGGTGGTGAGAAATGGCTGACTCCGATATGATCGGATCCCAGCCGTGCCGGTAATTCAGGGCTGATATGGGGGTAATTAGCCCTGGCAGACTCCCCAGGGTGGGGGAAGACTGTCTCGTAGACCCACAGACTGTCCGAGATTGTCAGCTTGCATCAAGGTGCAAGCGGCATGAAATTGGGTCCCAGAGCACGACACGGCTGGCACTCTCTGAAGTCCCTCTCATAGCCGGAAATATCTGTTTGATAAAATAATTGGATTTGGACAACAAACAGACATAGTCTGGACCGAAGAAGACTAAGAAAAAACCTGCAGAACTGTACAGCCCCTGGTGTTTAAGCTCGGACTTCAAAGAGATTCTCATCATGGTGCTTGGATTACGGATGTGTTTGGTACGTCCTTTTTCTCTTCTTAATATCTACAATTGGTTTTCTATGCCAAGCCTCATCAAGAAACTTTTTTTTTTTTAAGAAAAAAGAGTACAGATGGACTTCTATTAATAATTAAGTATTCAACTGTTGCAGCTCTACTCGGACTTGAAAGACTTGATAAAGATGGAAGAAGAAACAAGATGGTGCTTGTTAATATGATGCAGCACGGAAAAATGAGAATTCCTCTCATTTTCAAGGGAAGCAGGAAATATTTGCTGACTGAGTTTGTAATGACTTGAGATAACAATTTGGGACAACATATAGTGCAGCTGTTTGCAGACATTTCTCATTATGGGCGAGAGAGAAGGCTAAATGGATGTCTAGCAGCCCCCCATCTAGGGCCCGGAGGGGGGGGGTTGTGTGGTCTCTGAGAGGCTGATCAATCGCCAAATGACATATATCTGTGGAATACAGTTCATTTACATTGCAATATTGCAAACAGTCTGCCCAACAATCTATAGTAACAACTCAACAACGTGGAAGGTACTGTGTCATATCAAAAGAAAGGTTTGGACAACAGCCCGGATTGGAGTGATTTAACAAATTGGGAGCTGCTGCGTCATTAAACTTCAAAGGATAAACATGGGCAACAGCCTGGATTGGAAGATTGGAATGAAGTCAGGAAAAGCTGCGCTGCTAAATAGATAGTTGAAAAAATATATATTTACAAATAAAGCTGTATTCAATGGATGAAAGGATATATGATTTTTGACATGACTGAGAATCACATAACCAGGGATGGAGAACTTTAAAGTGTTAAGATCAGAAGGCGGAAAATATGAAAGCAAAGAGAAGAGGCAGGAATGAAGATTTGGAGAAATGCTTCAGAGGTCCAGACTATGGGGAGCCCGGAAAAAGTAATAATTACAATTTGGTTTATTTTATTTTATTTTATTATTTTAATTGGATTATGATTCAGATATCTTGATTGGCTGTTTTTATTGGAAAACCAATAAAAATGTTTTTTAAAAAAAATCGATGGGATGGAGTGAGTCTCCCAAGAAGAAAGTCTGCAGCCTCTGGGACCTTTTCATTTAGAGAAAAGGCAAGCAACTGGTGACATAACAGAAGTTTATAAAAATTATGTGTGATGTGAAAAAAGTGGACAGAGAATGTTTTTCTCCCTCTCTCATAACATTACAGCTCAGTGAAGCTGAATGTTGGAAGATTCAGGACAGATAAAAGAAAGGACTTCTTCCTGTAGCCAGAGTTCCACTATGGAATCCACGCCCACAAGAGGCAGGGGTGGCCACCAACTGGGATGGTTTTAAAAGAGGATGGGATAAATTCATGGCCTGATCCTGCCATCTTCGTTTCTTATGGAGTGTGCCTGTTGAATGCTGGGTCACACACATGCACCAACCAAGCCTACCCACATATGAAAATAGAGCATGCCAGGGAGAATTCACTCTCACTGAGCAGCTAGCTGTTCTATATGCTCTTCAGCTATTGGGTATGTATTTTATTTTATTTTATTTATCCCCAAATGATGTACATAATGAAATTATCAATAAAACACTGTACTGTCAGGCTGGATAACGGGAGGCCAGGGTCCAAATGCCCACTTAGCCATGAAACTCTCCAACTGATTCTAAACCAATTGCCATTTCTAAGCCTAACCAACTTAACAGCGCTGCTGTGAGGATCGGATGGGAGGGGAGGCAGGGAGAACCACTTCCGCCTCCTCAAGAGCCTCAGTAGAAAGGCCAGCTGCTCGCCTGCTCTGGAGGATTCAAGTTACAAAAAATGAGATTCCATGTAAACACCAGGAAGAACTTTCTGTTTCACTCTCTTGGGAAGTTGTGGGCTCTCCTTCCTTGGAGTTTTTCAAGGAGAGGCTGGATAGCCACCTACCATGGATGCTTTAGTTGAGACTCCTACACTGCAGGGGGTTGGACTAGATGTCCCATGAGATCCCTTTCAACTCTACAATCGATCGTTCTATGAAATACAATTAATTAATCAATTAAGGCAGCCTGACCTTGGCTAAGAAGGACAAGACACAGTGCTGCAGGGTTGATGGAGAAAATGTCTCCAGCATCTCAGCCAGAATGTCTAGAAGCCCCAGGAGCAAAGGGCAAAAAGGAGAAGTTGCTGTGGCTCACATTGGGAGGGGGGGGAAGCGTTTCCCAGCCCAGGGGCTGCATTCCCTCACAGGCCACTCTCTGGGTATTGCGTACCAGTGGTGGTGGTGGTGAGTGTCCAGAGACAAAAAGAGGGAGGAGTCATGAAAATGACTGTATTTGACTCCCAGGCCTGAGGATCTGTACCCCTGGTTTCAGAGGCCACCATCAGTACACAGAAAGGCAGGTTGCTTTGAGGGAGGGGCAGCCACTATTCTGCCCCCTCCCCCAAAGAAAGCACAAGAACGTATCACTTACCTGAGTCCAGAGCAAGTGCTGACAGCGACCAAGGAATCTGCTACTCCTTTTACATATCCCTGATAGTGGCAGTGATCCTGAATGGGTAGAAAACAAGGGGGGGGATTAAGGAATGATTGCATGCAGCGTTCCTTGTTGCTCACAGTGTTGATACCACAACGCTCTCATGAATCAAGAAAATGAGGTGTTGCTATTTTGTGGGTTGGACTCTTTTGCATACCTGCTGATTCAGGCCACCCTTTTAAAATGGATTTGGTCTCTTGAGCAACAAGCCTGCTTCTACACACACACACACACACACACACACACACACACACACACCTTTTTTCAGTTAAGGAAAGCACCAGGGAAATTCCCTAGAAAATGTAAGATAATAATGGCTCATATAACTTGTCCGCAAACAAATCAGAATGGCATTGTAGATCTTCTCTGCAAACGCTGTGCAGACACATTGAGAAGAATGCTCAGCAAATATGCCCTCTGGAAGCAATGTAAGGGTACAGCTACATGTGCTCAAAGTGTGAAGACATGTGATAGCAGATTCTCTGTAGTGACACCCCAACTATGAAATTATCTCCGCGCTCAGGTACACACAGATGTCAGCTACATTTCTGAGTTTCCAGAACCAAGATAAGACACATCTATTTACTAAGACATTTGGTGAATTTAGTGGAACTGTCCAAGGTCCTACAATTATTATGAAATGCTACTGTTTCATTGTTGATAATGGCTTGTTTGATGTGTGGAAGCAGCCTTGGGATTTACTCCAAAGGAAGGCAGCTTAGGAGTTCTACAAATTGAGACTCTGCACAGACACCTACTCCCTCGACCTGCCACCTGGATCAGGCCAATTTACCCTGTGTTGTCCCAGGGACCAGACACCCACACCAGAACCACCTCCAAAATAATTCACGGATGGGGCTATCTTTTTTTAAAGGGATTCAAATCCTATTTTGTTATACAGCTAGGAAAGCTAGGACTCTCCCACTTAACACATCAGGTAGGATCCGATCCTCCTGCTTAACAGCTGTTAATCAGGAGGGCCCATTCCTGGGGGTGGGGGCTGCTGCTGCTTCATATTCAAGGCAAATGTCCTCTCCTCCACTGCCCCCCAGGACCAGGAGGGGCTTGAAGAGACAGGAATGGCAGCAACTTCCATGCAGGAGAATGTCATGCCTGAAGTTTTTTGAAGGGAGAAACTGTTCACTGGTCTATTCCAGTGTGTCTGTAACTGTTCATTTCTGCTGAAACAGTGGGACATGTTATGAGTTACCCTGTATTTTCTTGATATGTTATCTCAAGGACACTGAGCCAGAAGAGATATAGCAGTAGTTTAGGGAACTGCCTGGTTATTCCTACTTTTGTTTTCTTCTCTTCGCATCTTCTGAGTTTCTATACATTTATTCTTGAGGGTTTTTTTTGCTGTAACTAAGCCTAATCCTTAATAAAAAAATTCCCTTTGCTAATGTGTTTTGACTCTGCGTGATTTATCGAAAACCAACACATCCGTTCCACCAAGCTTCTGCTACTCTGTTCTTCCACAAGAGAAGGAGCGCCTTGGGACTTAAGGCCAAATCTCGCAGATTGCTTGCACACGCATGCACACCATCCAGCGAGGGTACATAAGTTTGGGTGGAGGCATGGTCACCCTGCTGCTTCAGCAGTCCAGTTGGGAGCAGAAGCCAGTGGAGGGGATGCCAACTGCTTAGCCGCCGGAAGCACTGTGCACCTTTGTAAGAAAAACACTGGGGCCCAACTGGATTAGTAGAATGTCTGTCATCTGGTGGGTGGGGCTTCTGTGTTGTGCTCCAGAACTGGCCCCTCCCTTTGGGTGTCCAGTTCAATTCAGTCCAAGAGACCAAGTGTCCTTCTGGCCCCAGGATGTGCTTTTAGTCTCTCTCAGACAGGATGTCATTGTGTTACAGTTTTCTTTATTATTAAAGCTTTGTTTGAGCCTTTACTTTGCTGAAAGAAAAGCAACTCTGCTGAAGAATGGTGGAATATCCTAAACTGGGAGAGTGAGGGGATATTCCCAGTCTCACAGGAGGATTAGTTTTCTTTTTTTTCTTTTTTTTAAATATTTTATTAAGTTTTCTTTCAGATATTCAGAAATTTACAGAATAAAAAGTAGAAAGTAAGAAAAGAAAGTATACATAAATTCCAACTTTCCAAAATACTTTAACAATTCCAATCGGACTTCCCCACATCTTCCGAATTCTGCGTTCTTTGCAATTGTAACATCAGCAATTTGTTACCTTATTTCATGTCTTACTGTATCTTTCAAATACTATGTTTCCAAATTTAAAATACTGTATCTCAGTTATTTGTACCCTATAAATAAACATAGTATGGTTACTTCATGTTGTCTACCTCATCTTTCTTATAACTTAATTTCCAATTCACCTATTCAAGTTGCTGAAGCAAAAGTTTCCTAATCGTACACATTCTTAACATTCATACAACTTATAATGTTTTTGCAGATAGTCCTTAAATTTTTTCCAGTCCTCCTCCATTATTTCTTCTCCCAAATCACGGATTCTGCCAGTCATTTCAGCCAGTTCCATGTAGTCCATCAACTGCGTCTGCCATTCTTCCAGCGTGGGTAAATCTGGTGTCTTCCAGTGCTTTGCAATGAGAATTCTTGCTGCTGTAGTTGCATACATAAACAAAGTTCTATCCTTCTTTAACACTTTCTGGTCCACCATGCCCAGAGGATTAGTTTTCCTTTTCACCCCCACCCTCCACAACATTCCTTAGGAGCTACCCTAAGGGTGCGCTTTGCCAATAAAGAATTAGACTGCAAGCTGTCTGTCCTTCTTGGGCTGCGTGTGCTCGGAACACCAAGGGGAGCCCCAAAACATCTGAAGGGTCACAGGTTCCCCCCTCCCTGATGCAGAAAGAGAAACCTATCAGTGTCTGTTCAACAATTGTAGCTAAATAGAACCTCCAAGTTCAGCAGCAGTATATCACTGAACACCAGGTTGTGTGATGGGTCTGGAAGCCTTTCGCAAGAAATACCTCTGCTCACTCATAGATATATTTACAGTCTTTATTCACACACATATTTACAAGGTACATCCGAATCCTCGGTAGCAGATCCAGGAAGTGGGAGCTTTCGGCTCCTCCTCCAGCAGAGGAGCTTGGGAAGCCCCAAGCGCCTTATTTGTTCCCTATGTTTTAACCCCCTTCTGTCCTGTGCTGAAGGAATGGGCATTGACTCTCCCTCTGTCTCTGAACTGGTCGAGTGGTGTTGATGGTCTCCTTGCCGCTTGAGTTCCTTCTGCTTGCTTGTCCTCCTCTCCCTCTCCTGTCTTTTCTAACGGCTTCCGTTCTTCCCCCTCCCTCAGCTCCGGGGACAGGTTGCTAGTCAGCAACCATGTGACAGGTGATAGCCACTGTGGAAAGCAGTGAGCTGGGCCGGAGGGACTCATGGTCTGAACCAGCAAGGCTCTTCTTCTGTGCTATGCAAACATGCAAAACAAAGAAAGGAGGGAAGGGGGGAACTCCCACAAAGGGACTATTTGCTTACAACAACTAATTAGCCAGCAAAGCCAACATGGTAGAGACATAGGAAGCCCCCAGTCATTTTACCTCAGTAGTGTCCACACTGACTGGCAGAGGTTCTCCAGGATTTGGGGCAGGAACCTTTCCCAGTCCTACTGGAGATGCTGGGATAGATGCTCTACCATCTGCTGGGAGATGCTCTACCATCCAATTACATAACAGAAACTGACTTCCATCTCAATAACCACAACATCACCAGGCAGCCAGAGTTTAGAGACACACATCTGGAAGGAACTCGCTTGGCGGTGGAGGGGAGAATGCCACACAACACCTGGAAGCTGACAGAGTTTTGGAGCTGTTAGGAAGTAAGCATGATCTCCAAGACCTTTGGAAATACAAGCAGGGTGCTAGGAAATGTCTCACAAGTAGCACTGGGGCCTATGAGCATGTGAATGATGCCATCCACATTCAAGCCAGGGCTTTAAAAAAATTAAAGGCCAGGTTAAGGACAGGGAGCAGCCAGTCCTCAGGAACACAGCAGGTAGTGAGCAGGCCAAGGTAAGACTTGCCTTTACCTTGCAGTGGTATTTTTCTATATTCAGGGAGGGTGTTCAAACATCCAACCCCCAATACCACTCTTGCAGACACAGCAGCCCTCAGCCCTATTCCTACATCTCAGGCAATTGAACTCATTTGCCCTTGGCTCCCACTTGTGCCTTGAAAATCTTTGCCACTTTACTCCTCCAGATGCCAGCCCAGCAGGAGGGAGAGGCAGGCTCCCAAGAAATGTATTTGAAAGGAAAACATACCTTGAGATCCAGAATCTCAGACTGCAGCAAGCCGTCAGCATTGTAAGTATAAACTGGGAAGTCTTTGGGCACAAGGGCTCTGGAGGAATTGGAGAGGGAATTATGGGAAGAAATGCATTAGGCAACAATTGTTTTAAAGATTAAGGAAAAAATGCGGAACCAGCAATGTTGAGTTGCAAAGTTGGAAGGGAGCGAGGAAAGGCAGGTTCAAAAGCCAGTCTGCTAAACCATCTGAACCCCCTCCCTGCCTTCAGAGTCTTGTTTTTCAAACCACCCCCCAAGACAGTTTTGAAAAATAAGTCAAAAAGTACAGCATTTAACTTAAGCAAAATTAAAAACTTGAAAATTAAGAATGTTCTTAGACCTCATGCTTAATCAGGAACGAACAGTAATGATACCTCATTAAAACCAGGATTAGTTATAAACTCCCCTCTTTTCTTTTTATCACTACCAAACAATCCTCTTTCAGAAAATAAACAAAACACTATAAAAATAATAAATGAGGCTTTTTAAAACTTTTGAAAAAAGAAGTGCTTTCACAGAACTGGACCTGGAAGAAGAATGAGGAAAAAGTAAAGATTTGCAAACAGAAGGCTGTGAGAGCATGGAATCAGAAGGGGGGGGGGAACTGTTGCTTATATAATTCTATCCTTGCATTTATGGTATATTCTAAATGAAATCATAAAGATTTTTTTTAAACAAAAAGCAGCAGCTGGAGAAATATCAGTGCATTTCACTATGAATGGAGAGGGATCACACACATTTGATGTAGCTGTGTCCCCCCCCCTTTTATAATATACATTACAACAAATTGCCTATTGCAAACCACATGTACAGATTAATAACCTTTAAGGGAAGTTGCTTTCTTTACCAGAAATAAGCCAGCATGTCACCATGATGGCCAAGCCAAAAGTGCTTTGCTGGTGTTTAGTATGGAAGCCGAGGGGGCGGGCAGAGAAATCAAATCAACCAGTTGTTTCCTTTGGAGAGCTCTCCAGTGACCTGTAGACCAGGGGTCAGCAACCTTTTCAACAGGGGGTTGAAACCTCAACAGGGGGTTGAAACCTCAGACCTTGTGGGTGGCCGGACTATATTTTTTGGGGGGGGGGGGGAATGAACGAATTCCTATGCCCCACAAATAACCCAGAGATGCATTTTAAATAAAATGACACATTCTACTCATGTAAAAACACGCTGATTCCCGGACCACCCGGACTGAGAAGGCGATTGGGCCACATCCGGCCCCTGGGCCTTAGTTTGCCTACCCATGCTGTAGACTAAGCCCTGTACAGGTCACTTTCAGAACCAGGGAAAAGAGCCAAACAGACCAATTTAAACTCAGAATAACCAGGAGGAAGGAAAACAGCCCAGTGCAGCTGGAAAGGAGTCACTTACTTGTTTTTTTCTAGTTCAAGTGTATACTTTGTTCCTTCAACATCAACTTCAAAAGATAGTTCATCCTCAAAAGAAGAAGGGATAATCAAGCAACCTCTCTGGGAATCCTCAATTAATTATCAACATGTTCCGAACAATCCAGAGATTCCCAGTCCTGTCCGCCCCCCGCCTAGCAAATACACCCTTGTGTGTATGGTGGAGGTGCATCACCCACCCTTTCCATACATACACATTACACAAAGCAGTTTACATCCATGAAAATCATAACATGAAAAATAACAACACTGTCAGCAATATAAAAATCATAGTGTAACAACCACAAATTAAAAGGATAATAATATCAGCAGAGAAAATGCACTTTCCCACTAAAACCCACTAAGCTAGACCAACAAAAGCCTGATTGAAATTGCTCTGCAAGACATAGTAGCACCCTGTTTATGTTTTTCTCTCTGAATGCTCAGCTTTGGGTGCATTTTCTCTTTATTTAATGAAATAGTTGCAAAACCATCAACTGGCTTTGTATGTCAGGTATGGGGAACCACATTTTTAGGTTAATTTTTCAAAAGTTGTTGCATTTTTACAGTGGCGGGTGAGGAGGCCCTTGTAAGTTTTTCTGCCTCAGTTGCCAAAATAACTTGATCAGTTATGCACCATGATGTAGGGAGAGGGAGCACCATGTGCTCTTCACCTCATTCAGCCAAATGTCTCAGCCCTGTGTACTGTTGACTTCATAAACATTAGACAATAGGTGCTGCTCACAACAAGCTTCTGTAACAAATATGCAGCTCTCTCTCTCTCTCTCTCTCTCTCACACACACACACACAGAGAGAGAGAGAGAGAGAGAGAGAGAGAGAGAGATTAGTCCTAGGCTGCCCCGAACCCTAGGCAGCTGTACCATTCAGGAAGCACATCCATGCTTAATTATTTCACAGCTGCTTCCGGATGATGTGTACAAAAAGCAGAAAGCAACATGCTGATGATGAAATCCTGCTCTGAAATACCTCTGCTAGCTGGATGTCAGCACATCACGGTGTTTTCTTGTTATCCTCTTGGGGACAATAATTTCGTAAGCAGACAGCTGAGATAATGGCTGAAAACCTAGAAAGATACAGGGAAATGTTAATGGATTAAAACACTGTCAAATTGATAAAGTCAGTGAAACTAGATAGCTTATCCACAGGTCCCTGAGTAACAGCGGCAAAAGGACTAATTGAACCTTAAGACAGCTTTTGGGCACAAATTTGATAGCTTTAAGATCAGCACATAGATGCCACAGGCTGAAACAGGTTTAACAGTCATTCGTTCTCCACAGGAAACCATCAGAAATGACTCCAAGGGCACTTACTCAGATACGTTCTGGGGGTCATTTTGTTTCTGTTTTCTGGGATCAAGTGCCGGGGTTCTTTTCCTTGGAGAAGCTAACACATGAAATTAAGACCCCAAAAAAATTCCTTCCAGTAGCACCTTAAAGACCAACTAAGTTAGTTCTTGGTATGAGCTTTCGTGTGCATGCACACTTCTTCAGATACACTGAAACAGAAGTTGCCAGATCCTTCTATATAGTGAGAAGGTGGGGAGGGGTATTACTCAGAAGGGTGGTGGGAATGGGTGATTGGCAGATAGCTGTGATGAGCCTGTTGACGACTCTTAACGACTGCAATAGGTCTTACAGGAAAAAGCAAGGGGTGAGAAGGTGAAAAATGGCTTTGTCATGTATAATGAGATAAGAATCCAATGTCTTTGTTCAGACCAGGTCTCTCCATGGTTTTAAGTTTGGTAATAAGTTGCAATTCAGCAGCTTCTCTTTCCAGTCTATTTCTGAAATTCCTTTGTAGTAAAACAGCTACTTTGAGATCTTGTATAGAATGTCCTGGGAGATTGAAGTGTTCTCCTACTGGTTTCTCTGTCTTGTGATTCTTGATGTCAGATTTGTGTCCGTTTATTCTTTGGCGTAAGGTTTGGCCTGTTTGTCCAATATAGAGAGCTGAAGGACACTGTTGGCATTTGATGGCATATACAATGTTAGACGATGAGCAATTAAATAGTCCCGAGATGGTATGTGTGATGTTGTTGGGGCCAGTAATGGTGTTGTCCGGGTGTATGTGGCAGCAAAGTTGGCATCTGGGTTTATTGCAGGCTCTGGTGCCAGTGTCCGTGTTAAGTCTGGTTGTAGTATTATTGTGGGTTAGGAGTTGTTTAAGATTGGGTGGCTGTCTGTAGGCAATGAAAGGTCTTCCTCCCAGAGCTTGAGAAAGAGAACTGTCATTGTCCAGGAGAGGTTGTAGATCTCTGATGATGCATTGTACTGTTTTAACTTGGGAGCTGTATGTGATGACTAGAGGTGTTCTGTTATTTTCTTTTTTGGGTCTGTCTTGCAGCAAGTTCTCTCTGGGTATAAGTCTGGCTCTGTTGATCTGTTGTCTAACTTCATCTGCTGGGTATTTTAGTTCTAAAAAGGTTTGCTGTAGATCTCTTAGGTGAGAGTCTCTGTCTGTAGAATTGGAACAGATACGGCTGTAACGTAGTGCCTGGCTATATACAATGGACTGTTTGGTATGTTTGGGATGGTAGCTAGAGGCATGTAGATATGTTTGTCGGTCAGTTGGTTTACGGTATAAGGTGGTGTCTATGCGCCCATCCTGTATTTTTATAGTAGTGTCCAAAAAATGTATGTATGTGCATGCACACGAAAGCTCATACCAAGAACTAACTTAGTTGGTCTTTAAGGTGCTACTGGAAGGAATTTTTTTTTTGTTTTGACTATGGCAGACCAACACGGCTACCTATCTGTAACATGAAATTAAGGTCACCCAGGGATCTGCTGCACCACAAGATTTTGCAGCCAAATTGTGCCCTTTGTTTTTTTTACTCAATATGAACACTCATGCTATGGGTTGCCTCATTACACCTAAGTACGATTTCATTTGAAAGAATTACAGAACTTATTTGGCTCTTTGTCTCCTCCTCGCACCTTTCCAGATTCTTCTTTTCTTTTTCTGCTATTCCACTAATATTGGGTTTTGGTCCCCTCAGGGGGACCAAACCCCTTAGGTTTTCATATGGGTTTTCTTCAGGTGTGTTTTTTGTCCTGATGGTTCATGTTATACGAGGAGCCAATGTGGGGTCATGGCTAGACTTTGATCTAGAAGAAGCCCACTGGGTGACCTTGGAGTCAGTCACTGTCTCTCAGCCTAACCTGCCTCACAGGGTTGTTGTGAGGATGAAATGGAGAGGGGAGAAGCATGTGCACCACCTTGAGCTCCTTGGGGAAAAATTGGGATATAAATGTAGTCATAAATAAATAAATAAAATTTATTTTAAAAAGAAAAGACTAAAGAAATGGTTCTGCAAGGCAGAAAGGGATCTCTTGACAGGTAATTTTCAGCATCCACACCAAACTACAATTCCCAGGATGCTTTGAGGGTAGCCATGCCATTATTTGTTGTCAAGGGCTTTCTTCCATGCTTTGCAGGCCAGGTGGAAGTGCTCTCTCTCTCTCTCCCTCTGCTTCCCCCATGAAACCCTGGTATTTATAGCGGAACCAGAGCAAAGAGCAATCCATGAAAAACCCAGTTGTGCTTCAGCTGTTGCAAGGAAAGCTCCAGGGCAACAAAGACGAGTGCTCAGGTATGGAGCTTTACAGCATGGACTTGTACTTGAAGAGTGGGGCAAAGGAAAGTGGGGATGAGCCCCATGTCTGTTTGGTAAGATACAGTCAAACAAAAAGAACAAGGCTGGACTTGATAAATATACGAATAACAAAACAGAGGCGATCAGTTAAAGATTTCAGCTTCTACCTTCCTCGGTAACTTAGCTGGGATTTCAGATGAATCCTGTCAGCCAAAGTGCTTCTGGAATGACCTCCCCATCGGAGGCGGTCCATGCTCCCCACTTTATTGCTCTTTGACAGGTGAAGACACACCTCTTTGCCCAGGCCTTTGGGGAGGGCTAAGTGGCACCATATTTGATTATGCTCTTTGTCTGTTGATGTCATCTGATTTTACTGGTGCTGATTTAATATAGGTCTTGCTTTACTCTGGTGTTGTTGCTTTTTAAATTGCATTCATTGTGGTTTTAATATACTTCTTTGCCCCACCCTGGGGTCTTGAGGTGAAGAGAGGGCTATAAATACTTGAAATAACAAAGCAAGCAATCTAAAGCCAAAAGAGCCACAGCTAAAAACACTGAAACAGGGAGCGGTCAGGCTGGCTCATCCCATGGAAATTGCTGAAAGGGGTATGTGGACATTTTGCTTCATAACTTTTATTTTAGGAAGACCAGAGACCTACTTGGTTTTTGATTTTTAATGAAAGCTTAGAGTCTGGAGCGCATGCTGTTTATGTGTGCTCTATATTGATACCACAGGTACCTGCCTCTCTGTTCAGTATATCCAGCATCTTTGCTAGTGAACAGCAACTAGCCACATATAACACTTCCTCCACTCAAGGTTGCAGCCTGGAGAATCTGCTTTTCATTCAAAAGAGAAAAGAAAAGGAGATCTTCAATGAAAAATTACAAGGAATTATACGTAACCTGCAGTTTGGACCTCAGAGTGCAAAGAACTACAGTGAACTTGAAGCCCACATTTCCACTTTGTTACGTTCAGATGAAATTGTGTCCTTCACTCTTTAAAGCATGTCACATCCAAGTCTCACGTTAATCCAAGTCTCAAAAACATACCAGGATTTCAGCACTCAGCATTTTCACCAGCAAAGCTGAGGAAAACTGCTACTGAACAGTAACATTTGCAGGTACTAAGGAGGTGTATTGGAGATTACTTTTCCTTATTAAGTACAATTTAACTACATGCATGAGAAAAATAATGCTGTAGCTATTATAATAAAAATGTATGGTTCAAGTTGGAAGGTTGGTGAGTCCACAACACTGTCATGATTAGTTCTCACTGCACTTGTGTTCTCACTGCACTTGTGCGGCTTCCTCTTTCCCCCCACAAGCACTGTCTTCAACATCCTGACCCTATTTTTGAAACTACTTCTCTCTGCCACTCAGCTGCCCCACATTGCACCTGTTTTGATTTCTCCCCCTGCTTCTGCAATCCTGCTTACACACAGAGAACTGTCCATCTGGAACATGGCAGCAATAGACACCAGCCCACCTTGCAGAAGTGGTGCTTCTGCAATTACAACATATTCAAAGCATTTGCAATGTGGAGGTTGGTGCTAAGCGGCTCCGGCTAATGGAGATTTGGTGAGAATCTCTATAGATATTCACAGCAAATTGCTCCAAGCAAAGCAGTATGTCTGCCAAGTGTAGATGAAGTGATTCATCTCTCATTTGCACATTTTAATTACAGTCACCTGGGGCACATAATAAATTAATCTTACTTAGCGGGTTTGCCTTGGCTTAAACAGCCCTATTCATTTTATTTATTTCAGAAACTGTTTCATTAACTGCTTTATTCATTAACTATTTATTTCAGAAACTGTTTCATATACTGCTTGATTGAAGTATATACATAAGTATATACTGAAGTATACAAACAGTTTTTTTAAGCAGTTTACTATGTTTCAACATAAATCTGGAGGTCCATTCCTACCCCCATGGTTAATGTGGAAGCAGTGTCATGCAGTTCTGTGAAAGATGTAGTCAAAACATGTCCCTCAGCTCTGGGATTCGTATGTTATACCTACAATGCCAGTCCCTTATTCTTACCTTTAATGTTCTGCAGGACGGACAGGGAACCTGTGGCTCACCAGCTATGGTGAGGGGAGCATGAGTGGGGTGGCATCGCTCACTGCTGTGCCCACAGCATTGCCCCTCCCACTCAGCACCGTGAGGCTATAGAGCAACATGGCCCTACCTACACTGCCGCAGTCAAAGTAAATAAAAAAATTGTACAGTAGCACCTTAGAGGCCAACAAAGTTTGTTCTGGGTATAATCTTCTTCAGATATTTAATTTTAATATTTGGTAAGAGTAAGAACCTTTTCCCCTTTTAAGGAGTGTGATTTGCCAAGGAAATTCAGCATTCCAAGTTAATTTATGCTGTAGTTTATTTGTGTCAAAGCTAATTTCTATTTCAACCCAGCGGGCACAAGGGACATTGCTACGTCTGTGCTCGGCACTTTGGGAGGCACCAATCAGAAGACTGCCAAAGCACCATTCCTTCTCCTGCTCCCCCCCCCCCAAGCTTTGGGAAGTGTGTTTTACAGGCTTTCCTTGGCTGTGCACACCAATTGCCTGCAGGGAACAGGTGCACACAGCCAAACGGAACAGCATTTAACTCCCACTCATCAGCTGAAGTGCAAGGGTTAAAGCTTGTGTTTGCCACAGGTAACTGTTCTCTGGGAACAAACACCCAAAGCCAATGCAGAATTGTTGGCAGAGAGAAGCAAAGGGAATGATGATGATTTTGCATCCATTGCCCCGGGCACTCATGGCTCTGCAATCAGTACAGGTCCCACTTGTGCCCAGTAGGAGTGGAATCATTTTAATCACAAGTCAACAACACATGGGCAATTTATACAGACAGACTGCTAACTGAGACTCCCTTTAAATCTAGTTCCTGGTGAAGATTTTGTTGGAACATGCCACATACCTGGCGGTTTGTCAGCTGTTATTTAAAAAAATTCTGGACTTCCAGCTCTGTTATTTAACAGTGTATCAAATTAAGCAGGATCAAATTAAGAGATTTCCACGGCCTTTCATTTTATTTTTCAAAAACAATCCTGTGCCTCAGGTCTTTATATATGATTATGCATTATTCCAAACTTATACTGAACTTAAATAATTATTTCCAACTAGACACTGTTTTTTGTTTTTGTTTTACCTTCTGTGTCAGCACATGTAAATTAATCTTGCGTGATCCCAATTGTCTCCCATCAGTCCCAGTCAGCATGGTCAACAGTCAAGGAGGAAGGCAGAAGTAGTCCAAAACATCTGGAGAACACCTTGATGAAGACTGCCTTAGGGTGTGGATGGCCAAACTGTGGCTCAGCAAACACAGGTAGCAGACAAATATTTCTAGCATGGCTCTCAGGCAGTTGAAAGGATAAGTCCAGGTTACAAAAACCAGCACTGACATTTAGCCTTCAACCAAGACTGTAAGACTCTGGTCAAAAACTGTCAGGCTTCCCACCTTTGGCCTTTAATGATCACAGCAAAAGAACAAAGCAACCATTTTCAGAATGGTGGTGTTCCCAATTAAGGATTCCACCCACTTCCCCCCTAGTCACATCTGCGCCTTGCAACCCGATCTTGCAACCACTTTGCTTTCTGGGCTGCCAAGTCGGTTGACTCCCTCTCTCCCAGTTCTTCTCCTAGCTGTTCACCCCCCAGTTCGTCCCAACTTTTGTCTTCAGAACTATGTGCCTCTGCAAACCACTGTTCTAAATCTATACTGTTCCACTGCTCCTGGGCAGCTTCAGGATCCTGGTCAGGAGCAGGGGGAGGCTCCCACCATTCCTCATCAGAGCAGTACTTCTCAGCCTGGTCTCTCACAAAAACTAGCTTTCCTGGATGGATATTGCAAAAGGATGAGGGGGCTGGTGGCTGAAGGACCAAATTCCTGTTCCTAAAATAAGCCCTAGTGCCAGAACAAATACCAACCCTCCAGACCTTTTTTGCTTTTTGGTTAGCAAAAATGCACTCATGCGAACAGCAGCTGTGGCCCAGGAGTCTCCACTTTCTGACCCCTCCAGGAAGACATGTCCCAGGATCACAGGGTGGCCATGTGTTCTGCTTTACAAAGGTCTGCTTTCCATTTGAAGGCATCCTATATTAGATGGGCTGTTCAGTCCATGTTCGCTTAAAGAACCCAGGGAGATGGGGGCTGGTTTGAAGTTGCCCAATGCCATGCGCATGTCCTAGTTTGCCTTCTTTTCTGGCCATGTGCAAATGGCAGGAGCACACACAGGAGGCCATTGTGCTACCATTGAGAAGCAGATAGCACAGGCTGCATAGGCAGTATGGGACATTGGCATTAGTGCACCAGCTATGCTGCCCAATGATGAACCGGAAAGAGCTAAGGCACTCTGGGTGTCTGGGAGGGATCACAGTTCCCCAAACACTCAGTCGCCCCCCCCCCCAACTCAGAACTCTCTGGGCACCCCCTGAGGTAAAGAGATGTTATCGAAGAGGGAAGCAGGGCCTGGGAAGGCTTATGCCAAAGTGCAGGATTGATACCGGCCTACTGGGTAGTGGGGACAGAAAAGGTGCTGCTCTTAACAAAAACAGTTCCTGCCTTGACTTTAATAACTTTGGCCTTTGTTCCATCTCGAGATGGAGACAGGGTTTTGGATTGAGGCTCTGTCAATGAGAAGGTCACCCAGGATGGACAGGCTTATCCTCCCAGCCAATGATGACTAGAGAAGGCCCAACGACTGCCACACGTGAACAGAGTTTGTACCCTACAACACCTTACAAAACCTTCTGCAGTTTCCAGGGGTTCCCTTGCAAAAATGCCAGGCTTCCTCAGCAACTGAATCAGAGAAGAAAGGCAGAGGTTTAAAAGGCAGAGAGATTCAAAAAGAGAGTCAAAAAGCAACAGCAAAATTCAATTGCCTCTGTAGGAGGAAGCGGGGGACTCTGTCCTTCCCTTGGGTAGTGAAATATGTTGTGCAGGTCAAGCTGCTCTTTGGATAATTGTAAATTACGTTCTCTTATTATTCATATAATCATAGAATCATAGAGTTGGAATAGACCACAAGGGCCATCGAGTCCAACCCCCTGCCAAGCAGGAAACACCATCAGAGCACTCCTGACATATGGTTGTCAAGCCTCTGCTTAAAGACCTCCAAAGAAGGAGACTCCACCACACTCCTTGGCAGCAAATTCCACTGTCGAACAGCTCTTACTGTCAGGAAGTTCTTCCTAATGTTTAGGTGGAATCTTCTTTCTTGTAGTTTGGATCCATTGCTCCGTGTCCGCTTCTCTGGAGCAGCAGAAAACAACCTTTCTCCCTCCTCTATATGACATCCTTTTATATATTTGAACATGGCTATCATATCATCCCTTAACCTCCTCTTCTCCAGGCTAAACATGCCCAGCTCCCTTAGCCGTTCCTCATAAGGCATCGTTTCCAGGCCTTTGACCATTTTGGTTGCCCTCCTCTGGACACGTTCCAGTTTGTCAGTGTCCTTCTTGAACTGTGGTGCCCAGAACTGGACACAGTACTCCAGGTGAGGTCTGACCAGAGCAGAATACAGTGGCACTATTACTTCCCTTGATCTAGATGCTATACTCCTATTGATGCAGCCCAGAATTGCATTGGCTTTTTTAGCTGCCGCATCACACTGTTGGCTCATGTCAAGTTTGTGGTCAACCAAGACTCCTAGATCCTTTTCACATGTACTGCTCTCAAGCCAGGTGTCACCCATCTTGTATTTGTGCCTCTCATTTTTTTTTGCCCAAGTGCAATACTTTACATTTCTCCCTGTTAAAGTTCATCTTCTTTGTTTTGGCCCAGTTCTCTAATCTGTCAAGGTTGTTTTGAAGTGTGATCCT